GCTTAACCAATACATGACAGACGTCATTACACAAAACCTTTAGCTGTGCGCGTGTGAGTCACGCCCATTAAGATTTCTTTCCAAAATGTCGCAATACTTCATTATTTTAATGACACAAACCCACAGATTGCTTTAATGAGAAAAGGGGGATTTCCCAAAGGTGCACACCTGGATATTAAGGGAAACACAGCTTTCGGTACATGTTCGAGAATTAAAGTTGGTGCTGAAATATAAATTTGACCACCTTATCCTCGTTATAGGGGAAAACGTGATCTGAACACGCCGAACAGCAGAGAAAAAAGTGGTAAATCATGGTAACCAGTGTCTTTTTCAGACCACGCACATATGCTATCTTTTTTAAATTCTCTACTTATTCTTAACACTGAGCACTTATCCATGTTTCCTTTGTCAAATAACATGTTTTTATTTTCCTATTACAGTGTACTTTTTCAGAATTGTCCTTGACAGCCTTCTCTATGTTCCAATTTGTTTTAACCCCTTTATTGCCAAAACATGTCTATTTACATTGCGCAAGATAAAAAGATTATTCAAGAGAAAGTTGATCAAAATCCAAATAACTTTCCTCTTATTTAAGAATGAATAACTGCATAAGTGGTAGATACAACTCCAAAAATCATTCCTGTATAGGCCAGTTGAAAAAGAAAAAAGAAAAAGGTGGCCTGACCCAGTTTTGGAGAACAGGCGCAAGTAAATACATAGCAGTGGAGAGGTTGATGTGTCCTGTGTCCTTCATTGTTTTTCTTTTGCCTTCTTAGCTTTTAGGGGGACGTTTACTTTTATAGCTTTCTTTACTAAATCATTTATTTTTCGTCCTATAATTAATTCTTCAGATTCATCCAAGTTTTCTAGAGCTTGAAATGTACTACATACATTAAGAAAGACACGTTCTTTCAATTTTTGACGTCTTCATTAGAAATTATTTGAAATTTGGGTGGGCGCTTTGACTTTTTCAGTTTTTAAAATTCCCTGAGCATTTTACTCCTGATTGGTACATTGGGACCACAATAGTCTGCTGCTAGTACTGATTTTGACGTTTTACGGCGTTTCCGGACGTTTCTGTACACGTTTGAAGTCTACTTGGTTTTTCTAGGCTCTTCCACTGTGACTATGGGTTAACAATAATATTGTACATGTACTTGCTTGTGGAACGGTCCGTAAGTTTAACCTAGCAAAATTCAATTGAAGGCTTTAACAATTACCTTTCCGAACACACAAAACTTTTCAGGTAAACCTCATGGTTAGGGAACCTCGAAGTTCAAAGGGAAGGGGGGAGGGGTAATGTCAAGAAATGATATAATATATAAGATGTAAACACGCTCCATCGAACAATCGGGTCCAGAATAAGATAAGACAACATTTTATTGATCTCCGCGAAGAGACATTTTCTGCGGCATGTTAAATACATGTATGCACACACATGTCTATATGCACACACACACACACACACACACACACACACACATACACATACACGCACACACACACAGGCACACATACACGCGAACACACACAACTAAGCATACACAGGGGTCTCGTGGCCTAGAGGTTAAGGTGTTCGCCTCTCATTCAACATGTCCCAGGTTTGAATCCGAGTAACGACGGAAAAATTTCTTCTTTCAAATGTTCTCCTTTCACACTCTTTCCTGCTCTCTAACAACGTTCTGTCGTCTACTTTCGTCTCCACTTTCTGCCCCCTACCCCTCACCTCCTTTGCCACCTTATCTGGGCTCCTGGCTCTTTCAGCAGCCTGTCTACTGCTTCTCTTTGGCTCCTTCTTACTGCTGTCTTTCAGCCACACCCTTGATCTTATGGTAGGTAAGAACCGCACCTAGCCTTCTTGGACAAGGGTGAAAAATCTCCGAGGTCCCGAGTGCAAGTTGCGCACGTTAAAGATCCATTGATAGTCCAAAATTGATAAAAGGAGACTTCGGCTGCCACTCGGGCAAAATTCAAAATTTCCTACTAACCGAAAATGTTTGGTGTGTTCCGCGTGATCATATTACCTTATGCAGTTGCGAGCGCCGTTAAACACTTGCCCAAAATAACCCAAAACAAAACAAAACACCCCCCCCCCCCCAACAAAACAAAACAAAAACAAACGAACAACAAAACAAACCCTTACGCACACTTATACACACATTCACGGACACACACAATTACATACACAGGCGCTTACACACGAATACTGGATGGGCATCAAAATTATGTCATTCTCGCACAGATGACAATTATGGAATAGCTTGTAATGATAATGGTATGAATGAATTATTATACTTGTCGGTTCTTGCTTTTACTTTTTAAAAATTGAATAGATGTCATCACCGAAGGCTTCCAGAATAACAGATACAACAAAAAGTGTTCCTCGCCTGCAGTTCAAGCAAACTGGCCATACAATTTGAGACTTACAAAGTTCTCTGGTTACAATTTAGCAGGCTGTAATGGAGTATCCGAAAAAACCCAACAACAAAACTAACAAAAACAAGCAAACAGAAACAAAATCCGTCCGTCATCTCTACATCTTTACAGAATTAGGCCACAATCTGAACTTTAAACCAGTCTGTATGACAGTGTGAATGGGGCTGAACCAAAGCACAAACCAAGCACGGGAAGCACGCCAACATGGCTAATGACGTCCGCAATCACACGGATAATTCTGCACTCTTCCTCCGCTACAGTATAATAAAAAGGGGAAAATCACGATCTGCCATTGTCTTTTGTTTGTGCTTCTGTGTTGACGTTCATGTCTGGCTGTGCTGGGATATTTGATCTCCCTAAATGAACAATTTCCTCTGATCTCGTTGTCACGACACGAAGTTGCCACGTCACGATCATCCAACATAAATATTTTACTTTCTGGTGGGGAGCAAAAGACACCGACCGAAAAGCGTCTTTAAAAACACACGCAAAAAACAACCCTCACTGATAAGAACTACGAAATTCAAGATGCCCACTCTCCATTGCACGGGCTTCCTTTCCGTTACAAAGGGCTAGTTTATCTTGTCATAATCTACTCACCGGGAGCGAAGTTAATTAACTCAATTGGTGTCGTGCTGGGTTATATTGCTGATGACCTATTCAAGTCCTCCACAAAGTGTTCTTAGATTTGGATCGTTTGTGGAGCCTTACGAAAGAAAACAATAAATTCCTCGCCCTCTTTCACACACAGTCACTTAGACGCTCTAGGACTTACCGTTTCACCTTCACTATGCTCATGAATTTAATCTTCCCTCCTTCCTTCCCTTCTTGCATCTCACCATTACTCATCTGCCGACTCACTCACTTTTCCTTCATACCCCTCCTCTTTCACTCACTTCATCAGCAATTCACCCACTCACTCCTGACTCCCATCCTCATATCCCAAACAGAGAAGCCCCCACGCTGAGCATATCTCAAGTGAAGGCGGAGATTTTTTATGCTCACAGTGTGTCAAACTTTTCTCTGCCAGAATTGGTCTCAACGGCCAAAGCGAAAGTCACAAATCTTAAACTTTAATTCTTCTATTTCCTTGAAAAATATTCTTCTCGGCGGCTGCGTTGGTCATCGTCTGACATTGAACTTCAATTTGAAGGACAAACTATTATTACCCATACCCTTCCTATTTCACTCACTTCGTCACCAGTTCACCCACTCACATTCACCTCCCACCCTCATACCTTACCTCCATACGACTACTAACCACACACCCCCTCCCTTCAAATCTCTTTTTCTTTTCAGCTTGTGGAGAAACTAATTTATCTCTCCAACCCGGACAACATCCACGAGGCTGTTCTCCAGGCCATTGATGCGGGAAGTACCAACATAGCGGAAGTCTCTCTCAGACATCCGCGCTATCTGGAGACCTCAAAACGCATGCGCAGAATGGGAGACACAGACGGGTTTTTCAAGGTAACTGCAAGGTCCCTAGCCATTTTTTCTGGATAGTAAAGCACTGTACATGTATTGGTGCAACACCCCTATTGACGCGGTAAATTTTTACTGGGTGAGGACCTTCAATTTTACGTTCACGGGACCCAGGTGGGTGGGTTTAGAAGTGTGTGTGTGTGTGTGCGTGTGTGTGTGTGTGTGTGTGTGTGTGAGTGTGTGCGTGTGTACCTGTTTTGAAAAAAAAACCGGAGGGAGGGCTTGAAAAAAAATCAAAATTTCTCTTTTTTTTACTTCCAGTAAGCTCGGGAAAGGTTGTTAAATCCGGGCAATATTTTAGGATAAAACAGCAAGTAAACTTTGTTCGAAAGTACGCAAATCAGGCATCTCTTAAAGTAACAAAATGGGCTAACATTCCTTTAAAAGCGCAACACTGCTTGTCTTTCCTGTAGGCAGATGTTGGAGCATGACATCAGAGGGCACTGGCGTCTGTGGTATAGCACATAGGCATTGCACCGTCGCACTCAGAAGAACTCAGTTCGATTCACGCGTAGGGAGAATTTTTATCGAGTATCTCGTTCTTTACTGCCGGGACGTTGTATCCTGCTCAACCCGGGTTGGCAGTGACAGTAGGTAGACACGGTCCAAGCCCGCCTCCCAAATGATCCAAAGGACAACAAAGAGAATTCATTTAAAAACACAGACGTGCGGTAGCAATTACGTTAAGTGCGTACGTTTACCTTGCCTCAATCAAGGCCACCATTAATTAATTATTGCTGAGCATTAACGAGGTTCGCACATTGTGCAACGTTCTCAAGTATGTCATCAAAGTGAAAAGGCCTGACTTGCATGCTGTGAAGTCATTCGATGTTGAAATGCCTCTGAGAAGCACCAGATGTCGACTCCACAACGATTGTGTCAATAATTTCTGTCCCGTGGTTGTCAGTGTTGTCAAAGATTGCGTGATTCAGTCTGTAGGCCGACACAATAGCGTTTTTGTTTTAACTTCATGACTATTGATTTTTTTCTTGTTATTACTGTTGTGTTTATCTATTTGATGGTCGCTCAAATTTATAATGACACAATGCATTTCCTCCTTTTTCTTCCTGTTCACGTTGAACAGAGAAGTTGTGAAGGAGTCAGGAATTTGAGTGTTCTGTAAGAATATAAAACACTTTAATATAGTAGTTTTACACCCCCATTAACACAATTTAGGTCGTTTACGAGGTAGGCTGCATCAACTCCGTCTTCCAGAGTCAACCCGAGCTGGGAGGGATACAACGTTCGAGCAGAAAGACGGAGATACAATAGAACATCCTAGCAGAAAACATATCCCCACTTGGGAATAGAGCTCATGTCTTCTGAGTGCGATGGCGAAGCGCTTAAAGGAAGGTGCTACAAAATTTGGGCTCTTTTTTTTTAAAAATTTGTCATATGTGCAACGTTTTCTGTTATAATTGTCTTCAGTATAATTGAGGTTAATACATAGCGATTTGAGTGGATAGAACTATCATTCCTGGGAAACTGAGAGGATCAGTATGTCAAAGTTGCATTTCTTTCACACATTTTAAAAGGATTACATAAACTGTCTAATTTCGAAAGACATCGATATTAAAAATTCTAAGGCTTCCACAATTTTTGACTAAAAGGGTTCAAATTTCACTGGAAGTCTTCACAACCAAATTACCACATGCTGTCAACTTCTTTAAAGCATAGTTTTTTTTAGTAGGGTTTTTTTCGGGGGGGGGGGGGGGGGGTTGATTTTTTATAACCCCCCCCCCCCCCCTTAAAATTTTCGCGTTTTTATGATACAGCACACACAGAAGCTGCTAAAACAAAGTTAATTGAAATATGACCATCTTACTAAATAACAACAGTAAAAATTGTTTTTAAAAAACCGAAGAACCTTAGGATTTTTTCAAAGTCCTAAATTTTGAGTAGCCATTAAGCATTACATCATATTCATCTCAGTTGCAGATGAATGTTTTTCATCTCTTTCAAAATTTAATATCAAAACATTTTCTACGAACTTGTTCAACGCAGTGATAACACAGGTCATATATGGCGAATCTAAAGAAATGGAAATTTCAGTAGCACCTCCACTTATAACCGCTACAATGCTGACGTTGATTGTTCTGTGGGTTCTCATAGGAAGTAATCAATGATGTAACTGTACAAAGTGGGCTTATAACTGACACGTTGTCCACATTGTCGACTTCAAGGATCAAGGAATGCGCTGTAGAACAGAGGAGTTGTGGCGGGGGTAGGGGAGGTGGGGGGGGGGGGGGGGGGTGGGGGCTACACCCCCAAAGTCCCGATTCAGCTCAAAATTATGGAATTTGAGTTGTAGACATTTTTCGCTTTCTCAGCCTGTCCTACAACTATTTCATCCCTTTAGAACCCCCAAAAGCTTTCTTTCTTTCCATACCAAGCATGTTTGTTTCCACCATTTCCTCATAAAGTCAATATTTTACTTTTCTTTATCGGCCGTTTTCTCAAAACCCAATTTTCTTTTTCTATACTTTTCTGAATAACTCCACCATTTTTCATCCAATCTTCTTGAAATTTTAACAGAATGAATGGAACATATAGTACTAATTGTCTGTTGATTTTTGACGTATGGAATATATTTTAGTTGGTGGTTTCCGGAGTGTGGATTTTCACCGATTTTTTGCAAACTTGAATAGGCCTACTGCCTGAGGAAACAAAATCATTAAAAATGTTCTAATTCACTTAGGAAAAAATCAACAAATGTATTTTTATATCTAATGTTTGGTAACATGCAGTCAAAGAAACAATCAATTTCCATGAAAAAGAAGTGCGGTATTCATTACGTAAGACATGTCAACAAAATCTAATATGGCCGCCGTATCCATGGAAACAACTTTTTTCTCAAATTTGATAGCGGATTTTAAGATCCTTACTATGCTTGTTATATGTGTGAAACTTGGCAAAATTTGGTCCTCTAATAAGCGAGATAGCCTTCAACTGTACCCCCCCCCTCCCGCTACAATGCTGACGTTGATTGCTCTGTAGGTCCTCATATGAAGTAATCAATGCTTCATGATGTAACTGTATAAAGTGGGCTTATAACTGACACGTTGTCCACATTGTCGACTTCAAGGACTAATAGATGACAGAGAGGAATGCGCTGTAGAACAGAGGAGTTGTTAGGGTTGTTGTTACTCTGGATTGTACCTCTCGGCATCTTCAGCACGCAAACTTCCTTCAAACAATTATGCTGAAACAAACACATGCTCTGACATATGCACACACCCAGACACTCACGTGCATACGTGCACACATATCATGATATACACCCCTGCTTACGCAGTCTTTTCCTTTCGCTCTTTCTCGTTCTCTCTTTCTCTCTCTCAATCTCTTTCTCTCTCTCACTCACTCACTCACTCTCTCTCTCTCTCTTTCTCTCTCTCTCTCTCTCTCTCTCTCTTTCTCTCTCTCTCTCTCTCTCTCTCTCTCTCTCTCTCTCTCTCTCTCTCTTTGTCAAAAACACACATCCGCACACTCTACTACACACTTGAGTTCACAAACAAAGACTCTTACACGCAAACAAACACATATACACACGCATAAACGAACATTATTAAATTGAATATTAAGAACCCCCCCTCCCCCCGGATAACTCTCCACTGAAACACAGATTGCTTAGTCAGAATTTACTAGAAGTGTTTTTGAAGTCACTTCCCTCTAGTCCTGTTTGTATCTTTCTATACCTGGATTCCTGGAGGTGTCGTCTCTGCCTTAGCTGTTGATGTGCGGTGACCTGCTATTGCTTACGGTAGCTAATTGCCGAATACACCAAGTCATACGTAAGCCAGTCCATGCCTTGATGTCATCGGTCCACATCGTTCTTTGTCCACCTTCATACCGGGTGTCCATTGGCGATGGGATCGGGTCGGGTCGGGGGCGAACGTCCGTCTCGTCGCATGATAACAAACGCGTTTTTTTTTTTTAAAGCAGCCAGCCCGGCGCGATCGGTTTGGGCCACGACAGCCACTTTGCGCCCCCAATCTTGCTAGCAAACCGACCCGACTCGGCCCGATCCCCCAGTGGACACCCCGCATTAGCCTTTCACTCCACACTCTATGTAGGTCGTTCCCCACCCTGCACCTGTCAGTGTCAGCCAGTGACGTGTCTGTCAAGGGCTATTCCACGATAACTGACGGGACTAATTTTAATGAGGCATTTTAATGATTTTTTCTGTCTCGTCAGTTACCGAAATTAAATATGTCACAGAATTTGCGTAGCGTACTTTTTCGAATGACTGCTTTTAATATTTCAATTAATGCTCTGATCATTTAAAGGCGAATGAAATACATTTTAATTAATTGATTTTAATTACAGGGTTATCATTGTAAGTACATGTATAGTCCAAATGTCACGTCAGTTGACGTGAAATAGCCCCAAAGCGAAGCATTTTATGGGTTCACTCACTTACTAATTCCACCCTCATATACTTCCTCTCTATTCTCCCTACCCCCCCTCGATTACTAATTAAAAAATTTATCCTCTCCGCTCTCACCCCCCCCCTCCAACCATCTCTACCTTCCGACATTCCTCAGTCACCAATTCACCCACTCCCCCACTCTACCCGCACACCTTCTCCTCTCTCCCTAAGTCATTAACTCACCCACCCACTGGCTGTACACTCACAGCCCCCCCCCCCTCTTTTTTCTCACGCCATCCCGCTCTCCCTCAGTCATCAATTAACTTGAATTTTTGATGAAATTAGAAAAGGAGATACATCCAGGTGAATAGAAACATGTTTTTATAAATAGAAAAAAACTTTTATTGCTTTTGATAAAGTTATTGTAATTGGTATTATTGTTGTTGTTGACGTTGTTGTTAGTGCTGTTGTTGTTGTTATTGTTATTGTTGTTATTGTTATTGTTGTTGTTGTTGTTGTTGTTGTCGTTGTTGTTGTTGCTGCTGGTTGTGGGGATTCTACTGTTTTATGGTTTATTGTTGTCTATTATCTATCGGGGGGGGGGGTCAGTGTTCATATGAATCTTGACATACATCGTTATTCGTTTTCCTGGTTAACCCCTGTACATCATGATTCTAGCTACCAATCCATCTCAGCTTGTTTGATTAATCCGGTATATTCATGACGTTTAGTGAATTAGACAGCTGTGACGTCAGCATCACCATGCATCAATTCCGCCCACAGCCGGAACGAGGGTCTCAGTTTCCCAGCTACGTCACGCCGCTCAATCTGGCAGCACAGAAGAACCAGTTTGTCATTGTCCAGCTTTTACTGCAGAGAGGTGAAATCATCTGCAAGCCTCACAAGTTTAGCTGCGGCTGTCAAGTACGTACAAAGTACATGTATTGTGGTATAAATCCTTCGAGTGAGGAAACAATGAGCTCTCCAGTCTCAAATGTCTAAAGCTTGAGTTTCCCCATGGGGAAACACTCCCTATCACCCCGCCCATTATCGACTCCCTCCATTCCTACCCCCACCCTTCCTCCCCTCTCAACAGATCTCCCAACCTACCCCCCTCCCCCTCCACCCATATCAGTTTGAAACTGAAGTGAGATCTTTAAGTATAATAGTGAAGAAAGCAAATTAAAATTAAACAAAGTTTAATCAAATGAAACGGATTAAGGTAAGAAAAAAGAACGAAAGAAACGTAACAAAATACCACTTTGCTGATCTCTGTGAGAAAAGAATGACAAATATAGTAAAATGGGGGAATTCGACACCATACTTTTCAATTGGAGTGTTAGACAAGTGTCATAGAAGCTACTTTATGTAGAAAGAGGACACATCCTCCTCAACAGTTTTACTTTCGGTCTGATAAGTTAGGAAACAAAACATAATATGAATTCTACGATATAACCATCCCCATACTTCCATTTTTCAACTTAGATCTAATTAAAGATTTAATATTGCGGGGCAATTCCACACCCACATGAGCACACATGCTAAAATGAAAATAAAAAGAGAGACATTTAAGAAATTAAAGCTGAATGGAAAAATAAAACATTGCAGACAGAAGCAAATGGTTAAAGCTGAATGTCAAACAGATTTCTGTTGGTTCTAAGGGCTGTAAGTGTGTGTGTGTGGGGTGGGGATGGGGGTGGGGGTGGGGGGATTACCACGGGTGTTAAATATCTCCACCCTCCCATACAGCACAAAAAATAACAAAACAAACAAGATAAGGTATCTCCTTGGGGTTACAGTTACATCAAACTCGCATTGTACAAGAATATCACACCAACATCAAAACTTTTAGAAACGATCCATTTCTGGTCGCGATTTGGTTGCGTCCTGTATTTGAGCAAGGGTTATAATTGAGCTGTGCTCATGGCTCAGGACACACCTTTGTGGCCACCCATCTATTTTCTACATGCCACGTCGCTTGAATTGTTTGCCATTTATTTCGTTCTGAGCCTATTTATCACTCCTTGTGCATGAAACAATACCGAGAAACATATCTTGATAACGACAGTATAGCAGATACTTTATTGATACGCCATGCAACGGTATCCTCATCGATTATGTCTCACAACTCACCCCACTCCAAGCTATTGTCCCGACTGACATTGGGAAAAAAATTAACGAGTTTTGAATGGCGAGTGCTCTGAACTTGTTGTACTAGTGGGGTATAAGATTATCCTTGAGCTTTGCAGATACACGATTATTTATGTCAAGTTGCAAGGCGGGGGGTGGGGGGGGGGGGGATGGGGAGGGAGTGAAAAGAGGGGTGGGGGGGGGGGCTGTATGACGCCTGGGATGCTCCCTCCTAAATGCATCAAGCGAATCTGTGTGCATAGCACCGAATTGAGGCTAGGTAATTTTTTTTTCAAAAGTGAAAGTCTTTAAAGTAAAATAATCACGATCGTGATGCACATAACATGAGTGATTCATTTATTTTGCAGGAATGTACCAATAAAAGAAAATATGATCAACTCCGCTCGGCGAAATGGCGACTGAATGCGTACCGAGGTCTGGCCAGTGAGGCGTATATTTCCCTCTGCAGTAACGATCCTTTCCTCACAGGGTTCGAACTCTGCGCTGAAATACAAAAGCTGGCAGACACCGAATTGATATTCAGAGTGAGTAAAAATAATATAGTTGATTGACCCTTTTATGGCTAACATTTTGTTCTACTTTTCTCCACGCAATTGAGCGTCTCTCAGTTTATTTGTCATTGCTAGAGAAATTCTGAAAGAAAGCGGGCTGATAACTTTAAAAAAGAAACCTGACCTCTCTCATGTCTCCTAAGCCCTATTGTACCAACAATCCTCAACATTTACCCCCCCCCCCTCCCACAGGGAATAAACAGAATTGCAAAAAACATGTACGAAAGCAACAAAAATAAAAAGACAAAAAAAAAAACCCCAACAACAACAACAAACCCACAATAAAACAATAGGGGTTGAAAGAGAAGCGAATTCAGGCACTCAAACTGGGGCATTGTTTCACTTTTTTTGTTGTTGAGCGCAGCAATAGATGTAAAGAGGATGGCATCAAGCTAAAGGGTTAATAGAAAACCCCTCTGTTTGAAACAGTCTTAAAACAAACGAAACGGGTACAGGTTTATTTAAATAAATGTAAATTTGATTGCAGAGTTAAGTCAAAGGGTCGTGGAAAAGGTATGAAAATGAAATGGGAGAGACTTGTTGGAGACAATAGGAGACAGTATAGACTATACGAGGGGGGGTTCAAGAAGTCTTTGGTCTAAATATGAAGGAATAAAGATAGAGCTCTGTAACTTTGCATGTTACTTTCATTCTTCTACTTAGTCACCATGTAGATTAACACATTTCTGCCACCTCTCTTTGTCCTTCAAAAGTCCTTGAGAAAAAAATAACCCAGAATGAGCCCGTCACCAGTCTTCCACAGCTTCAATGGCGTCCCCATTGTCATGGAAACGACGTCCTTTCAGTGATTTTTTAAGATGAGGAAAGGGAAAAAAATCTGAAGGGGCTAGGTCTGGTGAATAAGCTGGGTGAGGCAGGATTTCAAAGCCGCACTGTTCTGCTGTCTGGACTGTTTGTTGTACCCTACGTGCAGGAGGCGCTGTCGTGCAGTAGGAGTATCCCATTACGAAGTTTTCCACGCCTTTTTCTCACCAATTCGGAGTGCAAATTTTCCAGCAAACCCGAATAGTAGTCCCCTGTGACTGTTTTTCCATTTCACAGGTAGTCAGTCAGTCATGATGATACCTTCACAATCCCAGAAACACGGCAACACGACCTTTCCACTTGAAGATGTTACCTTTGCTTTCTTTGGTGAGGTAGAAGAAGGGGTTTTCCTTGGCTTGGAGGACAGTTTTTTTGCTGTGGATCAAAATGATAAATCCATGTTTCATCCATAGTCACCATGTTTTTAAAGAAACTTGTGTCATTGGACTCTATTTGAAGGAGAGTTGTGCAGGACTCAACCTTATGTTTCTTTTGCTCTCTTATCCAAAGCCGGGGTACCCACCGCGCATACACATTATTCATGTCAAGATGGTCATGGAGAATGGTTTCAATTGACTCTACACTGATTCCTGTTTCACTTGAGAGCTGTTTAACAGTTATACGTCGGTCTTGTAAAACCAGTTTCTTCACTATGGATACATTCTCTTCAGTTACCACAAAGGATGGGCGCCCTTCACGATCTTCATCCATCACCGACATGAATCCAGATTAGAATTTTCTTACCCAGTATGTCTCAGTATTATAACAAGGGCATTTGTCACCATAAATTGGACCATTTCCTGAAAATTATACGAAGGGCATTTTCCTAGCAAGTATAAAAACTTGATGACTGAGCGATATTCAACAGGCTCCATGTCACAGCTTCATCAAAGAAAAACCAAACGTTTTTGTGCATGGTTTCATTGAACACGCCGTTTTGTGCCTTATTATTGTCGGATTTTCCCGAAAATTTGCATTGTGTGTTCCAAAGAAAATGTCTCAAGGCTGGTGAAATTCCATTACTCTACCAGGATTCCTTCATACCCAGACCAAAGACTTATTGAACCCCCCTGGTATGAAGGGAGCGTCCTCTAGTTGAGGAGTGATCTTTTTCTACTTCTCGTCACAGTACTGTACCACACGAGACTTCGAATAAATACTTGGCTGTTACGAACAGACCTGGTCTACATCAACCGGAAATTAAACGATGGGACTCTACGGTTGTGTCATGTGGATCTATCTACTTGGATGTTCCTGTTTGATTACACGGTTTTGCATTTTATTTCTCCAGAAAAAATAAATTACTTGGAAGTGCTCCCCCCAAAAAACCCCCCAAAAAACAAACAACTTTACAACTTTTCCTATAAACATTCCCTCGACACTGAAGCATTGCGGTTCAAATGTGATTACAATACTTGGAAGCCAAAAGGAATTTGGGTGATATTCGTTTTAGATAATTTCACAGAATAATTTTGCTTTATATGATGCATAAACGGATGCGACACATATTTTGCCATTAGACACATATTAATAGGATGTCTGGACTTTGGAGAGACACGAAGGAAGCATTTTTAAAGAACAAAATTGCAAGATCTGGTTCCCGTCGTTGAACCTAACAGAATTCTCGATTTTATAAAGGCTAATGGCCTTTACATAAAAATATAAATACTGTTATTTTAATGTACAGTGAATTGTAATTTTAAGATTGAGATTGTTAAGGTGATTTTTTAAAAACCTTTTACTCGGATCATTGACCCAAACCAAGCCGTGCTGTGAACTGTAGTGAATGCAACCAACTTGCGTTTCGCGTGCTCACGTGACCGTATATAACTGCGAGCGCCGTAAAACTCATACTAAAGTAAACTGACCTCGCCCACCCACCAGAGGGAGTACACAGACCTGGACACTCAGCTCAAAAGTTATCTGGTCAAGCTCCTGGACCGGGTGTGGACACAGAGGGAGCTGACCGCTGTGCTGGACAAGACGGGTCATCCCACAGAGGACAAGTTTGAGAGCCTGGCCCGCTTCAGGTTAGCCGTGGAACATAAACAGAAGTCGGTGAGTGAAGATTTAGCTTTTTTTTTTTTAGAGGAATACTTGGGTGGTTGGCGGGTGCTCTGGTGTGGTTTGCTCCTTCTTTCCCATGAAACATCTATCGTCCTTATCTCCCCTTCTTCTTTTTTATGTTTCTTACTCTCTTGTAACACCTCTAATCTTCTGGTGCTCATATAACCTTATGCAGTTGTGAGCACCGTAAAACCTGCACTAAAACTAAAGAGTAATAGGCCTACATCTCTGGCGAAACTTGGTCGAATCATGTGCTCCTCAGTTTTTGAGTGTATGGAGTTTAGTTATGGCTATCATATTAGAACTTGTTCATTTTTCGTGAAAATGATGAAAAAAAATATTGCTCTTTTTTGCTGAAAGTCGAGATGTGTCCGATTTAGGAAGGCGGG